ATTTTGCTTCAAGTAGTTCTATCAAATTCCAAAAGATGGAACAGAAATCATGGCCCAAAACTTGAAGAAAAGAAAAAAGAAAAATGAGAAAAGAGAGGGGGAGAGTGATCTGATGGAAGGGAGAGAGATTTAGGGCCTAAATGGCCTTATGACCATTAAAAGAAAGTGAGTGGCGGGTCCCTCCTAAAAAAAAATCTTTTAACTTTAATTTTCCTCCACAAAACTTACACACATGCACCGTTTACAATATAACCACAAATTTTAGCCTTTAAACAATCAACTTATGCATAAATAATTATACATGAAATGCAATGGACTCATGACATAAATCCCGTACGCAACAATTCTGGTAGCGGGTTCCACGTGGAACCGTCCGACCCGAAAAATGAAAAAATGTCGAAATAGCAACTGATGCATTTTCAAGAGTCCCAAACTCAAGAAAATGTCCCACCCAACTCTTGGATATATCCGACACACCCCACGGTTTCAGGTACGGAAAACGAAAAAAAGGCGAAAATGCCCTCGAAAAAAAAATCAGAAAATTCTAGAAAGAAAAATGACGAAAAACAGAAACATCACAGTTGACAACTCATGGCCTTCCAAATTACCATGATTCTTAAATACAGATTCATAATAGCAGATAATGGTGTACAACTACTTGACGTTTCATTAGAATTCAATTCAGACAACATACCCTGGACAAGAAAAAATTCTTGAAATTTTCATAAAATTTATTATGCCAAAATTCTGTTGATTCTATACAAAGCCAAAGTTTGTTTGAATCAGTACACAAGTATTTACTGATTTGTTTGTTCCCAGTGGAAAGAAGACAATGATGAGCAGCGAATCATGGCAACTGACATTAGCGAAGCATTCTCAAGATCCTTAGCCAGTCCTCTCCGGATCAATGAGATAATATACTTTATGAACAAAGTCTGCTGACTCCTATGTGTTATGGCTATTTTAAATGGATTCTATTCAGTACAAAGTGAATTTCAAATAAATAAATACTTGTCACCCGTGCCATTATTATAAATATGGCATTCCAAATAATCAGATATAATCAGATTAAAGCTAACTGATGAATGTAGAGTTTTCGTTACCAAATTGAAAGAAATATCATGGTCTTGTTAATTAGGCGTTTGTTAATTACACTTTCATTTGGTTTTTCTTGCCATTATTCACTGCCATGAAAACGCCTTCAGACTTAGCCATACGGGGTGACCAGAGCGTTAGAGCTAGCAGAGCCCTATCTTCTTTTGGATTGGATGGAATGTCATCCACCAAGAACAACTGATGGAAATGTTGATGTTTAGATGATTTTTGCTACTTTGTTCATTTTCTTTAGTAGCAGGAATGTATGCTTCATTTGTTGAGGTAGACGCCCATCATAGATAGAGAAAAATGGGCTGAGAGCCTTTAATACTTATCAGCAATTGTTCCATTCATGGGGACTCGGTGATGTTTGATGAAGGAGTCAAGAGTGGAACCCGGCTTCTTTGAGTCCTCGATACGATGCTTTGACTTAGCTTCCCATTCTTGACCCTTGTTGACTGTCGATGCTTTGCAACTTTTTCCATCCTCAGCTCCCCTAGTTCTTAAGAATGTGATTCTTTTCCGATTGAATGCAGCCTGCTTCTGCCACTTCCTTGCCATTTTGATGATATTTTTAGGACTGATCATTTTGTTTCTGCAAGGATGAGAAAGTAAATATTTTATTATGATAGAGAAAAGGCCGGGATTACCAACGGGCCTATGGCCTAGCGGTATCAGACCCTTACTTTCTAAAGGGGTGTCAAGGGTTCAAGCCTCAGTGGAGGCATGCATGTGAGTACCAACTAAGAAAAAGAGAGAAAAGGCTGGGATTTTGTTTATATAACACAAAGTTATTAATTTTTATGCTCGTAGAAAGAAGAGGAAGTGAGCTGATTTATATATTTTCGAAAGCAGAGACAGTGCCTTTAATATAGCATTTGTTTGGTAGGAATTCCATGGGAAGCAAAACCATGTGACAGTTGGATGAGAAGGGCTACTTGGATGAGGGCATGTTTCACTACATTTGGCAACCTACACTTCAGACATTAGAGCATACTGTGAAGCATTTTGTTCCATTGGCTCCAAAATGGATGGATTTTTTTAATCAAGCTGAGTTCGTGAACCAGAAGAACAAAAGCCTAATCAAGTCAAAAGAATGTGAAGTTGCTGATCTATGATAGAAACTTTGTTGGTAGTTTTGCGAGAGTGAAAATGCTGGAGGAAAACATGTTGGTGAACTGCCTAACAAGGTGGGAGATATCTGTGGCATACATCACATGGTCATGAAACAATTTAGTCTGAATGCATCTAAAATTACATATAAATTCATTCCCTATTCATGTTTAAATATTTCAACTACAGCACTTATGCCCTCTGGCTTTTTTGTATGCTCACATGGTTCTGTCTTTAGCTGTTACTGTTGCATAGGATGTTTTGGGCAGTTCCCAAAAGCAGCTATGTCTCTGCTGAGTGCTGACTTATATGTGACCAAATTAGAGTCAAGAGACTCGTTCATTTATGGCAGCTAATGAGTCTGCAAGAATCTTGATCTTTTGCAAGTAGTTATTGATTGAGTCCCTTCCTTTGTTGATACCTTGTAAGTCCCGTTTGAGATGGGATTTTCTGGCCATGGACTGTTGTTGGAACAACAACTCCAACGTTTCCCAAGGTTCTTTCGCAGTCGTTAATCCTAAGAGATGGGAGGACAGTGATACAGTTTAAACTTTGAGTAGGGACCATTTTTCTCCATGTAGAATATTCAGGATTGGGAGTTGGAATGGAAGAATTTGATGAAGAAGAAATAGTTTTGGGAGGTACTGGAATGGATCCATCAACATAGCCAATAAGATTGGTGCTAATACGAATGGTCTCTGGTTGGTCTTTCCACAAGAGGTAGTTGGACCGATCTAATTTGATAGAGACAATGTAACGATCCCAAAACTAATACCTTTTAAACACAAAAAAAAAAAAAAAAAAAAAAAAAAAAAAAAAAAAATTAGCCTGACCTCCCCTAAAAATAGGCCTACCATACCCTGTTTAAATTCATTTTTAACCTATCATGGCTCAAATTCCGAATTCACGGCAATAGTAGATGATGATACACAATCAAATGACCTCAATAATACTTCAAACTAGTATTACTCTCCCCATTCATCAATAAGGTTTACATGTTATCAAATTCACATCCAAAATATCATCAAATACCTTAATTACATTACATGACAAAGTTTTTGCAAAATATACATATACACCTTCACACTTTTAGTGCTTTGCAAAAAAAAATGGGAGATATACAAAAGACACAAAAGTGAGCTTCTAGTATCGCTCAAGCTTGAGTTGGGTTGTCGTCCACCGGTTCTTTTCCAAGACCTGAAAAAAATGTTTAAATAGTAGGGTGAGTTATATGCTCAGTAGGTGACACTTAAGACACAAATCTTGTGTCCTTGTGAATTCAAGCAAAGCATAGGCCAATGGGAGATAGGGATCATACAACGTAGGGGATCAAATACAACATACAATTCAATTCCAATTATAAACAATGCAATGCAATGCAATGAAATGCAATGCATGTCAATGACACTCCCCATTTTCATTCTCAAAACCATCACTTTCAAACGTTAATACAGCCGCCCTTTGGTAACCCCGCCGCGACACGAGAGAAGAATTGGCTAGTGTCCCTGATCCTTAGTAACCCCGCGACGTCATTATGGGGCCCAGTTAGCTTAACCACACTAGGGCGACTCCCTAGTCCCCTCTAGGCTATATTAACCTCCGGCCCATTGGTAACCCCGCAGCGACCGGGTTTCCCATAAAATCATTTCATCAAAAACACTTTCCCGAAATTTCTCCTTTTTGAAGTAAATCAATTCTTTCCCTTTTCCTGCCCAATGTTAATGCATGAATACCTCAATGGCATACACAAGTTCATCATTCCATACTTTATCCAATTTAAGCAACATGGCATAATTCGCAAGAATAATCAAGAAAGTCATAACATGCTTATACATAACAAGTTCTAGCACAATGAACATATATAATCAAGTCCTAAACATGCTTCACATAGAACAATCAACAAATATAGTCACACAACTAACATATATGCATACATATCAACAATTCTCTAGATTTTAAACAACTAATCAAATTAAACAACAATTAGAGGCAATTAACTCACTAAGGTACAAGATTTCATGAATTAAGGGCCCCTACCTCAAGATTGTACCAAAACCCTAGAAAATGGGTCTCAAGATTCGAAATCCAAAGGGGCACAAAATCTAAAATTGCTTGTATGGATGTGTAGAGCTTGACACGAGCTTCGTTTTGCCTCAAACGGCATCTCAATCCGACAAAAGGTGGAGGAGTAATCTAAGAATGAAGTTTGAGTTCAAAAAGAAAAAGAAAAAACAAGAAATAGAGACAGAAGGAAGGGCCAGCGGGAGAGAAGAAAAATGGAGACCAATTGTGGTCTCAAACCCTTTTTGGGTGTGGTGGTGGGTCCCACCAAAATTTTAATTTGTTTTCTTTTTTCTTTTACTCAATATACATCACACAATACACGTATACTTGCACAGACATCACAGACAAAGTTGGAGATGTTTGTAATAGGAAAAGCATTTGTTGCGGATGATGCCATGACAGGTAGAAAGGATAGATGGAAGAGGAGGAGGTGTCGTGTGTTGTGGTTAAGCTAATAGCTCTGATACCGCGTAGAGATGGTGGATTTAGGGCAAAAATTTTGTGTCTATATTCATTATACAAACTGAGTGTTTATCATTTTACAGAATACATACAAGGAAAGAATCACAAGAAAAAAGGCAAGAATCATGTTACAATTGTCCTAACTAAATCAATGCAGAAAGTTTTGGGATTGTGAGTTGATGATCAGGCTGTAGCATCCAAGAATGAAGCTGTAGCATCTTCCTACAAATCTTCATTCAATTTGTTTGATTTTAAACACTTTCCTTTTACATAATATACTCCATGAATAATGCATTGCATGGTACTCTGATAGGCCCTTCACTTGGCAACCCAAATTCCTCTTCAGACATCTCAAGGAGCTTTCTAAAAATCTCCTCGCCAAGGTATGCCAACGGAACTTCGAAGCCCCTCTGATCAGTTTTGTAGACAATGAAATGCCCCCTATCAGCCACCATTTGTATCCACATCTTTGTTGGTACTTGTATACAAAATTCTCTTCCTCCTCGCAACAGCTAACTTATGCAACTTCCTTTCCATCTTGACAAGTTTCCCGGGATTGATCATTTTCTCTTAATGGAAAAAATTAAAGAAAGAAGAATGTGAATGAGGAAAAATGATGTATTGAGCTTAGAAAACTGAGGTTCTACTGCTTTCAGCAGTGTACACAACAAAGTGACCCTTGTTGACTGTTGATGCTTTGCAACTTTTTCCATCCGCAGCCTCACTAGTTTTTAAGAATGTGATTCTTTTCTGACTGAATACAGCCTGCTTCTGCCAATTCCTTGCCATTTTGATTATCTTCTTAGGACCAATCATGCCGTTTCTTTGCGGATGAGGAAATAAAGATTTTGCTATAACAGAGTAAAGGGAATTTAGTTCTTAGAACACCAAGTTATTATTTGCGTTCTTGGTAGAAAGCAGGGTAAGTGAGCAGATTTATATATTATCGAAGGCAGAGACACTGCCTTAATTGTGGCATTTGTTTGGTAGGAATTGCATGGGAAGCAAAACCATGCGATAGTTGGATGAGAAGGGCTATTTGGAAATCAACACATTTGACAATGGAGCATAGTGCAGATGCATTCTGTTCCATTTAGCCAGTAAATTCCGGAGACATTAGACAATGGTTTTTTAATCAAACTGCATTTGTGAACCACAAGAACAAAACCCTGATCAAGTCAAAAGAATGTGAATTTGCTGATCTATCTACCAATGTTGCATCAAAATAGCTGAAAACTCTGTTGGTAGTTTTGTGAGAGTGAAAAACTCTTTGTGGTCCAATTCAGGTACCTATTTGCTGGAGGAAAACAAAACCTTGTTTGGCTCAACATGTTGGTGAACTGCCTAACAAGGTGGGAGATATTTGGGGTTCAAATACCTACAACTAAAAAGGCATACAACATCATATGTTCATGAAACAATTTAGTTTCCAAAGAACGTCTGAATGCATCTAAAATTACATAAATTCATGTTTAAATATTTCAACTACAGCAGTTATGCCCTCTGGCCTTTTTGTATGCACACATGGTTCTGTCTTTAGCTGTTGCTGTTATAACTGTTGGATAGGATGTTTTGGGCAGTTCCCATCGGCAGCTATGTCTCTGCTGAGTGCTGACTTATTGTTCTCTGTTCTTTTGTTCATAAAGCAAAATTGTCTTCCCATATCCGGTAGCATCATAAATGGATGTTTTTTTTTTTTTTAACCTCATATTTGCTTAATTTCTTCTACAGAATTATATCGTTGACGAACTTTTAATATAAAATATCATAGTGGACTAAGTTTTCAATATTGAAGGGCTAACTTCTTCAGTTCTGATTGTTCCTTCCAAAACCTTCTATTAGATCAAACATATTTATTGGATCTAACAAGTATCTTCAAGCCTCAGATCTAGGAAGTTCCTTTCTGCCACTAACTATTTTAATGGCAGAAGATAATAGTATATTAGTTTTTGAGCCCTTTGATTGCTGTTTTGTTTCAATCGATCAAAGGCCTGGACAAGACAATATACAAAAAACCAAAGGAAGAAGAAGATTCATTATAGCAGATAAGAATTTAATTCAGACAGCATACCTGGACAAGACAATATAGAACAACACAATTTCACGGCAGCAGATAACTTTTTTCTATAGAAATAAATTAAGGTATAAGTGAAAAAAAATTCTTGAAATGTTCATAAAATGTATTATGCCAAAATTCTGTTGATTCTATACAATGCCAAAGTTGGTTTAAATCAGTAAACGAGTAATTGCTGATTTGTGTGTCCCCAGTGGAAAGAAGACAATGATGAGCAGCGAATCATGGCAACTGATATGAGCAAAGCCTTCTCTATATCCTCAGCCAGTCCTCTCCGGATCAATGAGATAATGTACTCCGTGAACAATGCATCGCATGGTACTCTGATAGGCCCACCACATGGCAGTCCAAATTCCTCTTCAGACATCTTTAGGAGCTCCCTGAAGATCTCAAGGGTTGTGGAATGCCTTTTATGATCCCACATCGGAAACTTAGAAAAGTGAGACAGCCGTGGAGTGTCTATATAATGAATGGGAAGTTAATAGAGCAACATACTTACCTGGATGAGATCAATGGGTGATCAAAGAGGCCCGTGTTCTAGGTTCGTGACTTCTATTGCACTCAGGAGGGGTGTTTGTCTAAGGTTTACTAAGTGGTTGTCTATGTCATAATTTCTGGTAGTTGGGGCTTGCGTTCGCAAGACCTTATCCAATCTATATTTTGAATTTTTTGTAGGGGCTTTATAGACTTTCAAAATCTATATATTAGAGAACTAACATTAGATTTATTTGGTGTTTTTTGTTTTCTATTATTATTATATTTATTATTATTATTTTGTGAATTTATACTAAGTCTAAAAATTCAAAGAAACCATGTTCATGAAACCATTTAGTCTCCAAAGAAATTTGAATGCATCTAACATTAAAGGAATTCATTCCCTATTCATGTAACCCAATCAATCAAGTTTGAATATTTCCAATGTGCGATTATCAAATTTTACGTTGAAGTAAATTGTGGTCCAACACATCTAAGTTTTCAAATATTTAACAGTTAATGATATAACATTGTGGTCCAACTCATCTAAGTTTTCCAATTTTTAACAGGTAACTTGATCCAACCATAGTGTGTTCAAAATCATTTTATCAATTGACCCCTTGTGCTTAAGCAGATCTTGTCACTACAGAAATATTCACAATATAACCCAAAAGGGCAACCAAAAAAGTTGGATCTATAAGTTCTGCTCTAGAAATGACAAGGCCTCCTGGTTCCAGATTTCAAGACACCATCAGAACAAGGGTTACAGTGTATACAAAATTCAAGGAATTTTTACAAAATCTATTATGCCAAAATTCTGTTGATTATATACAAAGCCAAAGTCTGTTTAAATCAGTAAACAAGTAATTGTTGATATGTTTGTTTGCAGTGGAAGGAAGATAAAGAGCAGCGAATCGTGGCAACTGACATGAGCAAAGCTTTCTCTAGATCCTTAGCCAGTCCTCTCTGGATCAATGAGATAATATACTCCATGAACAATGCATCACATGGTACTCTGATAGGACCATCACACGGCAGTCCAAATTCCTCTTCAGACATCTTTAGGAGCTCTCTGAAGATCTCCTTGCTAAGGTATGCCAAGGGAACTTCAAAGCGCTTTTGATCAATCGTGGAGACAATAAAATATCCCTTACCAGCCACCATTGATGTACAACATCTCTCCGTATCCACATCACTATTGGCTCTTGGAAATGAAATTGTCTTCCTCCTAATGGCAGCTAACTTCTGCCACTTCCTTGCCATCTTGATGAGTTTCCTCGGATTGATCATTCTTTCCTAAGGGGGAAATTTCAAGAGAGGTGAATGCGAATGAGGGAAATGGATGTATTGGTGTTGTGATTGGAATTCAAATGGAAGTAGTTATATATATAATCAAGGTTGGAGACAGTCTTTCAGTTGTAGCTTTTATTTGGTTGGGACTAATGTATTGCAAAGCCATATGCCTGGTTAGGTCACATGGGACCTTTGTATGCTGGTATTGGTTTTCTGTTTTGAAACATCAGGGTTGAGATATTAATATGGAGGGTTTATCTCTTCCAATCTGCTAAGTGGTTTGGGAACACTTTAGCTGTCAGTTTATACAAACCACTAAAATAAAATAAAATTAAAACACAAATTGGTTAAGGCACAATTATTTGCTTTTATACATTCACACGGCAGAGTCACTGCCTTAAATGTAGCATTTCTTGTGCCAAAATCTCACAAGTAATTGTTTGATTATGTTTGGCAATCAATAACTTGGAACATAGCATGAGAAATTGTTTCATTCTGGCTGTGGTCTGATGAGGCATTGGGTCCAGGGTGGCTTATAATCACAAGTGACTTTTTTGTTGGGGCACAGCGGAAGGAAAAGAAAGAAAGAAAACAACAATTCAAACCACAACATAAGATATATACGTGATTCACCCAAAATCAGGGTTACATCCACGGATGAGAAGAGATTTATTATATATGTAGAGATATTACAATAGTAGAGAATTTCAACACTGGACCATACACATAAACTCTTGACCGAGTTTTCCGTGTACGCCACGAGACTCCCTCTCACCATCAGTGTTCACTCTACCAAACCCGTAACTCACCCCTACCATCAACGTACTTCTTTATGAGGCTACATCTCTCTCAACTCATAACTCTCAACAATAGCTTAAGTGTCTATTTATAGAGTCACATACCCAATTCCTTTGTGGACAAGGATTACAATTTCTTAGAACCCAATTCACGTCTCTGTAAGAAATTACCATAAAATTATACTCTAAAATAGAAACTAATAATAATGAGAATTTGAGACATAATTCCTAACAATCTCCACCTTGGTTCAAATTTCATTACGTCAATCATCGCTTCTTATGGCAATTGAAACTGAACAATTCTCTGCAACTTCAATCTTCGCGATCTTATTGCAGAACTCGGATTATCCCTTCACTATACGTTGCTCAATCAGTTAAACCCCAAGGCTCCGCCTTGACTACTCAAGCTCCATGCTATGTAATCAAGCTGATTGACTCCACCTACAACTGAAGCCCGTTGTAGCACATGTTGAGACTTCTTGTGTTTTCTGGATCTCCTTCACTTTTGGCTCTGATACCAGTTGTTGGGCCACAGCGGAAGCAAAAGAAAGAAAGAAAACAACAATTCAAACCACAACACAAGATATATACATGGTTCACCCAAAATCAGGGTTACATCCACGGATGAGAAGAGATTTATTATATATGTAGAGATATTACAATAGTAGAGAATTTCAACACTGGACCATGCACACAAACTCTTGACAGAGTTTTCTGTGTACGCCACGAGACTCCCTCTCACCATCAGTGTTCACTCTACCAAACCCGTAACTCACCCCTACCATCAACGTACTCCCTCATGAGGCTACATCTCTCTCAACTCATAACTATTAACAATAGCTTAAGTGTCTATTTATAGAGTCATATACCCAATTCCTTTGTGGACAAGGATTACAGTTTCTTAGAGCCCAATTCACGTCTTTATAAGAAATTACCATAAAATTACACTCTAAAATAGAAACTAATAATAATGGGAATTTGAGACATAATTCCTAACATTTTTGAACCGTAAAAAAAATAAAGATAGACCGATCAAGTCACAAGAATCTGTATTATCTTTGTTGTGAGAATGAAAAGCTTGGTGGTACAACGCAGCAGGCACATGAATGCCAGAGGAAACAAAGCATATTTGGCTCAATATGTTCCTGAGCTGCCTGACCTGGTCCAAAATATCTGTGGTTCAGAAACTACTCCTCAAAAAAACATCTTACAAATCAAATTGACCAATAGGTCCTTAAAATTTGGTTCATTTCTTCTATGAAATTACATTGTTGAAGAACTTTTAGAAATAATCAATAATATATCATAGTGAACTAAGTTTTCAGACATTGAACGGCTAACTTCTTCAAATATGATTGTTCTTTCAAAATCATTCTATTATATCAAACATACCTATTGATTAGATGGAGAGATAAACCGTTTAGTCTTGTGGGAATTTGTAGGAAGAATTTATCAATCCATTGGCCTAAGAGGCTCTTGTCTAACTATTTGCTCATCTTCTAATAAATCTTCATTATAATCACCACAAAGAGGGAGGAGTAAGTAATGGAGTATTCAGCTGAAAAGTTTTGAACTTTAAACCATTTGTTACTCATAGTAATGTAGAGAGAGGAGTATTTATGAAAAAATAAAAAATAAATAAAAAAATAAAAATTGTAGAGAGAGGAGCAAATGAGGCCCATGGTCTAGGTTGGTTCAGTTCTTTTGAAGGGGTTGTGAAATGCATTTTATGATCCCACATCGAAAGCGTACAAAAGTGAGACAGTTGTGGAGTGTCCATATAAAGCATGGGAGGCAAATATAGCAACATACTTACCTGGACGGGATCAATGGGTGATCAAAAAGGCCTATGGTCTAGGTTGGTGATCTCCATTGCACTCAGGAGGGGTGCCCGCCTAAGGTCTATCCAAGTGGTAGAGCCTACGTCATAATTTGTGGTAGGCCTGTGCTCGCGCGGCCCCTGCCCAATCTACATAGTTTAAATTTCTTGTTATATGATTTTAAAGTGAAAGTCATTTTATGGGCTTTCTAGGCTTTTATTTCAATTTTTTTTTTTTTTTTAATTCCTTTGTTTTCTCTCTCCTTTGAGCAAGGATATATACTTACATGTACCAGATTTGAAGGTGAATCTTATTTCAGTAGGTGTGCTAGACTCCAAAGATTATAAGGTTGTAACAAAGGATGGAGTAATGATGATGGTCGTGATAGATTCTCCTGTGGTGTTACAGGGCACCAAGGTGAAAAATTTGTATCTTCTCTAAGGGAATACAAAAATTTGTATCTTCTCCAAGGGAATACAGTAACAGGTAGAGAAAGGTCTTCTACAGTTAGCAGAAATCTGCGTTCGAGTCTTGGCAAAAGAAGAATTAGAAAGAGGAGTTACGATCCTAGTTCTCAAAAGGGTTGTGAGGGGACTACACAACGTGGTGGGAGAACGAAATCCATTTTCAGACGGCAACCGAAATTGTAGCCGTCCTTATAGGGAGGCGGACCCATGAGGACAGGTGTGATATTGACTTGCAATAATCTTGGTGGCAATGAGATTGTAAAGTTTTTGACTTTATCTATATATATAATTAGTATAATGACCTTTTCAACTGTGGGGCCCACCTATGATATAAGGGTCATTACAGACCCATTTAGTTTCCAATTTGCTTTCTCTCTCGAACAGCTTAAGTCTCTCTCTCTCGTTGCTTCTGTCTTTTTCTTTTCTTTTTTCTTTTTCAACTTCAATCCTTGATTTCTCTCTCAATTCTTGGCGGATTTAGGTGCCGTTTGAGGCAAAACGACGAGCACGACAAACTCTACGTGCTAGAACCAGAAATTCCAGCTTTTGGTCCTCTTTGGGAGCTCGAATTTAAGAATCCATTTCTAGGGATTTTGCTCATTTTGAGGTAGGGACACCTTAATCCACTACCTTCTTGTTCCATTGTGAGTTATAATCATTTGTTGTGCCAAGCATGCTTAATTAGAAGTTAATTGTATCAATGATTATTTTAAATGTTGTCTAGAGAAATTCATGTGTATGAATGTGAGTTGTTTTATGTGTAAAGCATGCTTAAATGTATTTTGTTGTATCTTAATGTGTTAATAATTACTTAGGAGATGTTGAACATGTTGAATGTTTAATTTTATGGTGTAGAATTTTAAATGTCATGACATTGAATGTATGGAACATATATACATCCATGCACATGTCATTGGGATGCATGAAATGGGAGAATTTGTCTTGAAATGAAAATGGGGGAAATTTTGGGAGAAGAGTTTTGTCAAATAATTTTGATAAACCCGGTCGCTGCGGGATTACCAACGGGCCGGAGATTAATATAGCCTAGAGGGGACTAGGGAGTCACCCTAGCGTAGTTGAACTAGCTGGGCCCCATAATGACGCCGCGGGGTTACCAAGGGTCAGGGACACTAGCCAATCCTCCTCTCGTGTCGCGGCGGGGCTACCAAAGGGCGGGCTGTATTAACAGTTTGGAAACGATGTTTTGGATTATGAAAATGGGGAGCGACACTAGCATGCATTGCATCTCATACCATTGCATTGGATATACTTGAGATTGAATCGTTATGTTGTATTATCTCCTGACATTGTATGATCCCCATTTCCCATTGGCCTATGCTTTGTTTGGATTCACAAGGACACAAGATGTGTGTCTTAAGTGTCACCTGCTGAACTTTATGCTCACCCTACTATTTATATTATTTTTTTCAGGTCTTGGAAATGAACTGGCGGACGACAATCCACCTCAAGCTTGAAAGTTGTTAGAAGATTGTTTGCTATTTTGTATTTTGACCGTTCTATGTATATTCGTAGTTGTGGAAATGTAACTAAGTTAGTATTCATGGCTTTGTAACTTAAGAACGAACTTATCTTTTGTTTGATGTAAATGAAACTAATGGAATTATGGTATATGTTTCCATGCAATTGTATCATGTAACGTTGTAAGACAGGGACTTTAAATATTAATCTTGTATTTTGGGACTGTAATTTTGATAATTTAGATTAATTGGTGTGTGGATGTTCCACCATGAGAGGAACAATGTTGAGGTATAATGAACGGATGAATGGGATGCTGGATGTTTTATGTGTTTTGTGTATTGGGACAGGTTGTTGAAGGCCCATTTTTTTGGGAGGTTATGCCGAATTTTTTTAAAATTTTGGCATCAGCTAAGGTCGTTACAGAGATAGTCCATTCGAGTGCCATTAAGATGCGTGGGAGGCAAGTAGTTGGTCACAACAGAGATGCGAGGAAAAGTCAAGAACGTCCTATTCTCCACAAGAGTGAGAAGATGACTTTTCAT